TATAAGAACAAGTAAGAAGAACCTCAGGTTACCAATATTGGAGGAAAAGAACTATAATTACCTTGCAATTCTGGCTCTATTGAATATGGAGTTGTGGTGTAAGTATCTATGAAAATAAAATAAATAATTTTCTGTATCAGCAGTGTATTTTGACAGACAAGGAGTTCCAGGCATAAAAGTCCAAAACATGTATTTTTTAAAGAATATCACAAGTCTGTTGAGATTCCTACCACCCATTGCATTTTCTACAATTGGATCAGGATGACAATCGTGTATAGTCCTTTCTGCATTAACCAAAAATAAACCTCTTCAAACTCATAAGCATTAAGGAGTATGTGAGTAACAAACCTTCTTCATATTTCAAAATATGGAGAAAAGAACCATAAATCTGAAACTTCTGAGGTGTTAACAATAAAAATAGCAAGTTTTTGAAAATCCTGCCTTTCATTATACTTTCCATAATTGGGTCAGCATATGTACTCTCTGGGATCACTGCATTATGCAAAAGATATAACTCCTCAGCAAGAACTAAACCTAAAAACAAAAATAGGAAACGAAATCCAAATTACCTTGCACCGGAGAACATGTAAAACCAGAAAATGGTGGATTAGGGCCTGCGTAATTTAGATAAAGGCGAGATGAAATCAAATCAAAATGACATAGAGAAAAATCGAGATCAAGCTTGGAAATTGAGATTGAGTGCGAGATGCTTACAAGGGTATGAGCTGAAATGTAGCAATTGCTGAGAAGAAACGTCAGTGATAAGAAGGGGGTCTTGCCAGGATTGAGGACTTAGATCTTCCATTGATAAAAGCTGAGAGATATGGTATTTGAATTGCTATGAGTACTGATAAAGACAGCGCCAAGCACGTAAAGAAAAAACGACTGAATGCTTTTTAGTTGTGGGTTTAGAAAGAGAGAAATTTTGTTGATCGCTTTCTTTCCAGCGAACGGTGAACCAATTCTCCGTTACGATGGGAAATTCGATCAACGGTCGTTTTGAAATTTGAAACTCCTGAGCCCGGCAACTGTAGTATCTAAATAAATGGAGAAAGAACCAAATACGGATTATGTCATAATTAATTTGAAAACAGCTATTTGCACCAGGCTTCTCCATCCTAATGACCCGCCCAAGCGGCCCAACCCTGGTATAGCCACCGCCTTCCAGTTAAGATGGAAATTTAGGGGTGGGTAAAGTGGTTCGGTTTAACCTAATCGAATAGTACCAAATCATACTCCATATGTAATTTTTTTTAGAGAAACAGAAATTACATGTAATTGAATTAAAGAAATTCATTAACCAAATCAAACTGAAACCAAATCATATGTAATTTGGTTTAATTCTTCCAAACCGTATTAAACTTAATTGAATCGAAATCGAGAAAAACCGAATAAAACTGAATTGAACTAAAGAAATTCACTAAAACCTTCATATGTTATTAAAAATAACAAATTTAAACCGAACTAAGCCGAATCAAACCAAACCGAAAGAGAATATGGTTTTTGTTTGGTAGTAGTTCTTCCAATTTGTTTTGCAAATTGAATCGAACCGAAACCGATAAAAACCGAACGAAAAGTAGATATGTCAACCCCGAGATGGAATATTAATATTGATTCTTTAATATTTTATAAAACGAAATATACTATACTAACTCAAAATTGTAAGTTTGGCAGGATTTTGATTAAGAAAGATTTGACTAGTAACAATTTGGTTTTTTTGACAATTATAGAACTCGAAATAGAAATGTTGTGTGTCATTTTGTTTTTGTAATTGTGGTCCCTCATTGTCTATTCTTTTTACAAATTTCATCCTCACTTGTGCATGTTATTGTTGTTGTTGTTGTCAATATTCCCCATGTTAGTTCAAATGTATATGGGACGTGGGTGCCACTTGCATAAAAAAATGGATAATTGGGGGATCACATCCAACACGTGAATAAATTTTAATTTAGATACTAATTCAGAGACCAAAAGTGCAATATTCCCAAAATAAAAATACTCGTAGTAATAATTACCAAATGTATGTATGACATCCATATAAAGCCATACCAAACACTGATCAAGTAAGCCTTCACATCTTCCCCCAAGCAGAATGTGAATCTGTGTGTCTCTCATTGCTTGGAGGACTAGGCAAAGAAAGGCTTGAGGGAAACAAAAACTTTTGAGAGCGTCTTCTAAAAAATCCAAGCAATGCAGTCATATGTTATTTTAGAATCCACTTTTAAAATCAACCCTCCCGCCTTATCCCGCCTTATCTTTGGAGTGTTTCAGGGTGTGAACAATTTCTTGATTAAGAATGATATTAATGGTGGTGCTTCTGCCAGGGATGAAATTGTTTTGAAAGGGTCCAACAATCTTCTTCATCCATGGTCTCATTCAATTGATAAGAAGTTTTGAGACAATTTCACACATGACGTTGAGGCTGAAATTGCACCATGTCTAGTTGAGACTCACTTTTTGGGAGGAGAACCATATTCGCCCGTAGAACCTCAATCAAGATTCGAGACTTGACCTCTTCAAAGAGTGCCGTGAACAAAATATATTATTGCTTAGTATTGTTAAGTATACCGTATGAACGGAATACTAATCACTGTAAAGGATGAATGAAATGTAAATAAACGTGTAATGAAAATACTATGGACCAATAAAGACAATAATATAGTAAACAAGAAAATCATATATAAAAAGAATACACCACCATCCCATAAAAAAACTTGACCAAAGGTGACTTTGCACATGAAATGATAAAATAAAAATGATGTGGTTAAGATTTGTGCAGAAGAGGTAAAAATAACTTTACACACTTATTTATTAAGAGTACTTTAAATGAAAACAACAAAAGTTTTAGAGACGATAAAAAGGAAAAATTGACAAAGTTTTGAGGGGCGGATGAAGTAAATTAAAATATTTTTCCGTTAATATCACTATATCGAAGTTACATTACAAAAAATGACAACTATTGTATATGAGCTAAATGTGATAAAATGTACTCCCTCCGTCTCAAATTGAATTGCAGAAATTGACTTTTGGGGTCAAACAGACTCATTTTTTTCACTTAGTTAAAATATCAATTCTTAATTAAATTTTACTTTAGATTTTGCAACTTTGTAGAGATTTTAATATAGTTTTCGAGTATGTAAATTTTAATTATTAAAATTGAAATTAATATCGTGGGGATGATTTAACTTTAATATTGATTGACAAAAAATGTTGGCTTCGCAAATCAATATTAACTTTAATATTAACTTTAGATTTAACTTTAATAAATTTTGGAAATTCATGATTGTCACAAATAGTTTATTACTCTATACATGACTCCCAATTTTGCATATGTCATAGCCAGTTTATTATATCACTGTTAGTGATTGCCGATGTCGATATTGTCACCATCAATGTCATTGTTGCTCTCATCGGATCAATGCCATCATGTAATATTTTATATCAAAAGTTACATGTTTGATGAAAAAGTTAGTCAATAAGCCTAATAAGTCGAAAAACAGGGTCACCACCGCTATGCTCTCTTTACGTAGCTCATCTTGTTCATATAATATCTATGTGTGTTCTTATGGATGTGTAAGTTCAAGCACTTCTATTTTATCCGAGGCTCAAAAGGTAATCGACCCATATACTCTATTGCGTTTGAGCCTTAAAACCCATATAGTGTCACTTAAAACTATTTCACACTCTCTCGTTTTTAGCTAAAATATATAATGATTATGTTGTTAAATTATTTATCTCTTCACTACACAAATCTCAGTCACAAAGTTATTACCCTATTATTCTATGTGTAAATCAAACTTATTTTATGTGCCGATTTTGTATCAATTCTGTAATTTTTTTTTGTGGTGGAAGGATATGTTAAAACAAAAAGATACGGCTAAATCTCATCATGATCATATACTCTAAAGTCAGATAGACATATTTCCCACACAATAATTGGTTGACATAGAATAAAATTGATCCGGAAATTTTTAAAATATATAGGATATTTCACTAACAATTTACAAATCATTAACTATACTACTTAAAAAATCTCATAATAATTTTCATGTAACAGTTCTATACGAGAAAAAACATTACTTTAATATTGGGCAAACACTCTCGCGCTTTGCGCGAGTACACCTAGTGTACATATACAACATAAATATAAATATAAACATAAACATAAATATAATTATATTAATGGTTTTTTACAAGAATATTACTAAAATAAAACTTATTTACATAAATATGACTATTCATTACAACGTAGTGTTGTGGTAACTTAATTTCAAAACTTGAACATGAATTACTATGATTTCATTACTACTCCAGTAACTAGTCATATTTTGTAAATCATCTTTATTTTGATCATATTTATATTTATGTAATTATTTCTTATATTAATAAATATAAATATAAATAGGCTAAAATGGTCAAATAGGCTCTTGAACTAACTTAAAGTGTTCAATTAGCCCTTTATATAGGAGGTTCTGCCGGGCCGTCGCCAATTGGGGCATTTACCGGTGGAATTTTTTAATGAATTTTTTGAGCATCTTCTTCATTAAGTCTAGTTTACCCGTACCAAATTGCAGTTAAAAATTCAACCGGGAAGATAGACAAATGAATTTTTAAAGATAACTGTGCAGTTAAACAACGCAGTACATTTCGGAAAATCATTTGACTACCTTCCCGGTTGAATTTTTAGCTGAAATTTGATATGGGTAAACTATATTTAATGAAGAAGATACTAAAAAACATTTATCAAAAAAATCACCAGGAACCGCCCCAATTGGCGACGCCGGGCAGAACCTCCTATATAAGAGCATCTCTAATGCTGCAGTGTGTACGGTGCACATGTGGCATGAGAGATAACCACGCAAATATTAACAAATAAATTATCTCTCTCCTTATTTAAATAATTTTATACACGTTTGATAAATTTTTCTCTACAATGTCAACGACGATGTCTATATCTAGATGATCTTATTGACATTCCCAAGAAAATCTGAAAGTTGTATAAAATACTAATCCGTATAAGAAACAGAAAGAGCAACCGAAATTACTTTGCAACCTGTGAATTTGCGGTACCACGGCGGTCCTTTTGTGCACTTGAAAGCACAGAATCATTTGACCAAATGGGTGCAAATATAGAAATGCTTCCATCCCATTCGAACGAGCAGTGACCGTAACAGTCGAGCTAAAGAAGATGAGAATGATGAAGGAAGAAGCCATAAGCTCCTCCGCGGATCCATTTGTTCCGCCCAAGTCTTCTTCTCCTCCGCCTATATCCACTCCAGCTGCTAGGTAAGCCCAATCCCCATCGGAGCTACAAAACCCTAGCTCACAATTTCATTTGCTGATTATGTGTTGCATTCGATGCCATTTTAGGGATGTGATATTCCTTAACGAATTCTTGGTTAAATGGTTTGGAATCTTTGCTGCTATGCTTTTTTTCTGCGGCAACCCTTTGAATTCTTTGATTTCCCGGTGCTTCATTTTGTTTCCCAATTCGGTTACAGTGGCCGAGTGGTGGATCAATATGTATATAATTGCAATTTTATTATATCATCCTTTTCAAAATGAATTCTTTCAGTAAAATAGCTGGACTCCGCTAGCCACAAACATATAATTTATAAACCAGAGAAATGAGGTAGAGATTATCAGGAAACTAGAACAAACCAGACAATTGAGGTAGGAGAGTATTAGAAAAGTGGGAAATAGTATTGTTGACTGGAAATCTGTAAGCTGAGGTTCTAAAAGGTGGTCCCTGCAGCTTCCTGCTCCTTTTATTCTCCATAGAGATGAGCTGATTTTGATATTTTTAATATCTCTTATTTGTTTATAGTAACAAATTGATTATAAGGCTGCGGGCATTGAATAAAAAGTGAGGTCAGGACAGGATAGTTAGAGAATAATATGTCAACGCCGATTGGCTGCTACACCCTCCCAATTATTTTAACAAATTAAGTGACAAGTGGCTAAACATAGTGCATTACTTCCTTTTCAGCTCTGCAGGGGCATCTTCTCCTGCTGTTCCAATGAATGTTGGCAGCACAGATTGGGCAGCACATGGATCAAAAGCAGGTTCCTTTTCCCGGGCTGGTTCATTGCCCATAGGGACTTCTTTGAGTGCCAGCGCTGGTGGTTCTGCTCTTGGATCATCACAGCCCTCATGTAGACCCTGGGAAAGGGGTGATCTACTGAGACGGCTCTCAACATTCAAACCGACAGACTGGTTTGGAAAGCCTAAGGTTTAAATATGCCCCTCCATTTACTATAGTCATGAACATTAAAATTGCTCAAGAGTTTTTGTTCCTCATACTTATGGCACACCCCTAATGTCTTCAATGACATTTATTCACCATTTGGGAATAGTGTGTTTAAAGAAGCTTTTAATTGTTATCGTTTGAAACTCATTTGATAAAAGACTTGAATGTGACTAGCTCTTAGAACTGTTACAAGTTTGGTTTTGAATATCTCATTTAGGTTGATGGAACTTTTTTTTAGCCTTATGCTTCAAGTTGACTGCCTATTACCACACTTTTCTAGTCTATTTATTTATTTACTTACTAATTCATTCATTCATTCATTAATTCAGTACTTCTTAATAATTTCTGAATTTATCTGAGGTTAATTTTATTACATTACAGTTTGCACCGGAACACTTGACCTGAGGGTTACACATGATTTCTCTTTATGTGAAACGCACACCCACATCGATACATGATTTCACATAGATTCGTCAAGAGTATATATCTATTCTAGGATAATCACCCTGTTCGCACACCTAAGTCAGATTACACACATAACTTCCACAGTTCCACTTAATCAGCTCTTTTCATGTTTAACTAGATATTTTTGCTACTTGCTTGATTCATGCTTTTGAAGTGGTTTTCGCAGGCTGCAGGGTCTCTGGCTTGTGCTAGAAGGGGCTGGATAAATGTGGATGTTGATAAGATTGAATGCGAGTCATGTGGTGCAAGCCTCAGATTTACTTCCTCTGCTCATTGGACTCCCTCTGAAGGTAAATTTTGCATTCAATCAATTGGACTTGTGATTACTTAGTCATATAATATAATGGGAAAAACTATCAAATAGGCCCTTCTAGTATACGTAAAATGGAAATTAGGCCCGTGTACTTAGAAAACACCCAATTAGACACATCAACTTTTTTGAAAAAAGCTCAAATCGTCATTTTAGCAGGATGTCTCTAGGGTTCCAGGTTTGCTTAACCACTGCCACGCCGTTTTATCCTTGCCAAGTCATTATTGGAGAAAGAAGAAATAAAAAAACAAAAGAAATTATAAGATCCCTTTCTGGCTTGTTGTTAAACAATGAAAACGAAAGAAACCATGATACTATTCATCTTCAAGCTACCAAAACCTAACCCACCATCTTCTTGCCTCTTTATTTTGGTATACATGTCGGCGCACTTCCATCAGATCCTCAAATAACAAGCCAAATTTGTTGCCTCCGCACTCGGAAGCACAATAAACAGCAGTGATCCCATCTCCACCGACAAGGCAACGACAAGTGTCGCCCCACTAGCTTAGATCACCTCGGCAGGACCGACCCTAACATATCTCGATGATCCGCCCATTCCTCGCTGCTGGACAATAATGGAAAGGGAAAGAAGGTCCAGAAGGTCTTTGCTCTTTCAAAGACAACTTCTTTTTGCTCTCTTCTTTTTTCTTTAAAATGGAAGAACAGAGTTGGCTTCTGGGAAAGGAGCAACACAGAAGAATATAAAACATAATAAGAGGAAAGGTAAAAAGAATAAGTAAAAAGAAAAAGAAAAAGAAAGAGAAAAAGATATGACACTGATGAGAGCTGAAAATTGATAATCAACGGAGGAAACACATTGCCCAATCCACCTGGCTGATATCCACTCTTATTCCTTTGATAAACCAAAGTAAACCCTAATTAGGGATTTAAACACCCTTCTAATAACAGACCAAATACAGAAATCCTAATCAAGCCCAAATAGAAAACATAACAGAAGAATTATAAAAAATAAAACTAAAACCCCATCCAACAGCCAGCCCACGAAGGTAGGCTCAAGTCCGTCCCCGCCTTCGGTAAACTAACAGGGGCCTTGGTCCCTCTTCCCCCAAGCCAATCTCTTGCTCTCTATCAACTCCACCCCCCTTCGATACAATCTTGAACTCAAGGTTGAAATCTGGAAACTGGTTCACAAAACTCTTCTAACTCATCCAAGTAGCATTATCACTGGATTTCCCCAAGTATTCAATCTCAAGACACCCAAAGACACACTTCTTCTTATTAATCACCAGGTCACCCCTTAGCTCGACTCGACTACCACCCCACTTGAATTTCATAGTCGATGTTTCCCAACTTGTCTGTACTTCTCGCAATGGGCCAACCAAGCTTCTCCCAAAATGATGTCAACCTCGCCAAGGAAAACACATAGGAATCTCCCTTGGCAGCACACCCTGGCAATGATATAGGAAGCTGTCTACACACCCCCTCCAACTCCTGTCTATGCCCATCACCCAATATTCCGGATTGAATTGTAATAGGGAGACTGAGGATGAAGAAATGAAGTTGTGGCTTATGCTACTATCTATCAGGATTGTCCTGTGCAACCCTCAACCACCCCCGAAGTCTCATAGTTTGAGGGCTTAGAATAGAGTGGAAAGTCTCCCCCATCTTCTTCCAAACCCTCCTGATTCTCCTTAATTTCCTCCTGCCCGGTTATCTCACAATCATGTTGTTGGAGGTCCAACTTCTCGTCCTCCTCAACTAACATCACCCTTGTTGCTTAAATGGGCAGTCGCACTCTAGTGTAAATGGTTTCCTACACCTAAAGCACAATCCTTTTGCCAACAATTCTTCTAACACCTTTGGCAGAAGTTGAGTGAATCTGGAACATGCAGTAGACTGCCCGGACAGCCCTGAATTGTCCCCGTGGGCTGCTCGGTTTCCTTAGGAAAGCTGCCACTTGACCCCCTCATGCTGCCGTCACTTGCGGCTGTGTTGTTACCCCCCACTCGGCCGAGAGAAACTGCCCGAATGCGACCTCGCATTATTGTAGGAGTGTAGGACTGGCTCCCTTGTCCTCTCCATTCTGAAAGGACGTATTGTCCTTAATATCTCTGTCCAATTCCATTGCTGTCTCCCGACTATTCAGGTGCAGCAGCCGTAAAGAATCCGGAACTGGCCCCTTTAGCCCATTCATGAAATACCCCATATACTGATCATCAGAAATGGGACATGAGTCACATGACTCGCCAATTAGACAAAAATCGAGATGTAATTCTCTACCATTCCTGTATCCCAGAAAAAAATCGAGATGTAATTCTCTACCATTCCTCTACATAACAGAAAAGTTATAATAAATAAAACTAAAACCCCATCCAACAGCCAGCCCTCAAAGGTGGGCTCCAGCCTGTCCCCGCCTTCGGTTAACCAATAGGGGGCTCAGCCTCTCTTCCCCAAGCCGATCTCCTACTCTCTATCAGACAAGTAGGCAAAGGTTACTGATTACCTGTTAGAAACATGTCAAATAGATAAATTGAGTGCTTTACTGCTTTTGATAAGTTGGAGTGTTTGATTGAGTGTTTTTTTAGTACAGGGGCGTAAATGCGCAAGTGCCATTTTGGAAATAGTAGGAGGAATTATTTGATAGTTTTTCTTAGTATAATTGTTCACAAAGTAACTGCCATGGAGCGAAGGGCTTCTGAATTCTGAAATGTCGAAGCAACTAACTTTGTAACCGGAACCAACATAACTAACAATGTAAACTCTCCTTCCTAGTTTTCCTAGCAAGACGAATACACACAAATGCCCATTTGTTTCTTACTCTTAAGTTTTAATTTCTTTCAGTAGAGCATGCAAATACTTCACCTGAGATTGTCCATGCTGAGACTGTTATGCCCCACTTTGATGAGGTTTTATGTTGATCAAATCTTTCTTCCTCTATTTTTGGTAGTAACATTTGATCTCATGACGAGGAAACTAGAAGGCCTTAAGTTTTAGATCATATTTTCTCCTTAGATACCTAATAGTTTATTAACTTCAAACCACAAGCACAACCAAACCTCTTTTAATTTTTTGCTTGAAGATGAATGTCTGAGATTGATTAAGGGTATTAATAGTTGGCAGAAATTCTTTCCTTAGTTTAAGAATTAAGATAGCGCGTACTACTGTACTAGGTACGACTAGGTGCAAAGCGCTGCGCGGAAGTGCGATGAAAAAATCACTAGTGCAGATTCCACAAAGCGCGTGCCTTCCTCGCTTCTTTCTGCATTTTCGCTCATCAGGAGACGAACACATTAGCGGCCCCAATGTTTCTTGTAAATTTGACGATTTATTTGCTAGTTGTGATTTATTTCTCGTAGTTTCCTAGAATTTTCTTCTGCTGCCTAGTATTTAATAAGAGGTCACACACTTTCCAAAGTCCGAAACCACTTTGTCTCTTCTTTTTTATCAAAAATCAACTCCTCGCCTTCTCTTTGCTTGTTGCCCTCTTTCACGTAAATTTTTGCCTTTCTTCTCTTCATTACTTCCTATTTTCCCACTTCTCTCAATAGCTTAGTATTTTCCCTGTGCTCTATTCTGTTTTGACTCATGGTCTCCTGCTCCTTTACTCCAATTGCAGATTGAGCAGTTTGTGCTCATGTTGTTCTTTCATTTTTATCAAGTTAATTACTTGCTTAGTCTGTGTGCATGGATATACATGGTACCGTCCTAGTTTTGCATTCCCAGCAAACTTAAGTTAACATTAAATTCCAATTTATAACTAGAAGCCTTCATATTATAACTAGAAGTCTCAAAGCTAATTTGTAATCTTCCTGATAGTCTTAAAACCAGAAGACTCGATAAATTAGAAGCCTCAATACCATCTGTCTGATTGTGAGCAGCAAGCCTAAAAATTGTCTTAAAATTAGAAGCCTTAATGTTTTAACCACGTTACTAAGTCAATAACTAACTGATGTTTTTTAATTTTCAAAGGCAAGGACGCATTTAATTTTTAAAATTAAACTTAATATAATAAGATATAGTTAAATCAGTAAACTTTAAGCTCCGGGACATTAAATTAGTAAACTTTGAATGTTTATTTTTTTCCTCTTGTGATTGATTTGGGTATTCAATATGCTTTGTTTAATGACTTGTGGCATTTATATAATTCTATCATTATTTTCGGGTACAGTATCATGTACAAGTTGTACAAATATTGTTAGCAAATCTGTATGCTTAATTTTTGTGAGGCGCGCCATGGCTAAGTTTAACAAACATGCCTCATGGCACCTCACCCCTTTTAAAACTAAGACCCTTTCATGGTTCTTAAGTTTCAAAGAATCGCATTTGGGTCCATATATTTCAATTGTTAAATTACTTATAAGCAAAATCTTCTCTTACTACCTTAATAATTCAAAGCTTGGTATTCTATTTTCATAAGTTAATGGGATGTTTGTGCACATGTATCCTACATGAAACCGTTGTTTGATTTCTTTTAGATGTATAAAAATGCCGTTTTATTTATTTCGAATGCCAACTTTTTAACTTCAAAGAACTATAAAATAGTGCTCATTGGTTCTTATCAAAAGTCATCTCATTGAGGCACATCAAAATCTGATTTCCTTATTATTGATGTCACATCTTGTCTTCATAGTCTTACCTTCTCATTATGAATTTGTGTTGCATGCCTATTATAACTTTTGTTCTAATCAGTAGATTATCCTTTGCAGTTGATATAGCTGGTGATGACTTCTCAAATAAACTTGATGATGGGCATAAAGTCACTTGCCCATGGAGAGGAAATAGCTGTGCAGAAAGCTTGGTCCAATTCCCTCCTACTCCTCCATCTGCCCTAATTGGTGGTTTCAAGGATCGTTCTGATGGACTACTTCAGTTCTCTTCCCTCCCTATAGTGGCTACATCTGCAATTGAACACATGCGAGTTTCTAGAGGTTCAGAAATAGACTGTTTTCTAGCTCAATCACAGGCGCTTGGAGGCGTTGAAACTTTCTTTAGGCCAGAGGGTTTGTCTGGAGATGAGAACACCAGAGACAATGTTTACTTTATATATTCTCGCGTAAGATTTTCATGGTTTGAACTACTACTGTTTAGCCCTCCCCACCCCTCCCCTCCCCTCCCCACATATTTTCATTTTCTAAGCCTTTTTTTTTCAACTATTCCTCACAACTTAGGCCCAGAAGCTCATTAGCCTTTGTGGATGGGAGCCTAGGTGGCTTCCAAATATTCAAGACTGTGAAGAGTATTCAGCTCAGTCAGCCAGGAATGGATGTTCAACAAGTCCAACAAAATATTGTGGTCCTCCACAAGACCCTGGCCGCGGAAAGATGGTGCTTTCTTATTCAAAGAAAAATGACACTTTCAGGAGAGAAGTGGCGTGCCCCATATCGAGAGGTGAATCTAGGTCACCATTGTTAGATTGCAGTTTGTGTGGAGCTACAGTGAGGATCCTGGACTTCCTTACAGTTTCACGTCCTGCTTGTTTTGCTCCCAATAGTGTTGATATCCCTGAAACAAGCAAAAAGATGGCATTGACACGAGGGGTTAGTGCAGCAAGTGGAATAAGTGGGTGGGTTGCTACTGATGGTATAGAAAAAGAGCAGACAGGAGATCACGATGAAGCTGCAACAGATGAGAGAAGGTCGCTGTCGAATTATGGCGTTGACCTAAATCTTACAATTGCTGGCGGGCTTTCCTCACAAGTACGGAAGAATTTAGGCTCTGACCAATTCCAAGATGTGAATAAGAAAAGAGGTTCAATGATGGGACAACCATGTAGCAGTGAGGTTGGTAACCGTGCTGCTTCATATGAATCACGCGGTCCTAGTTCTCACAAGCGTCATTTAGAGGAACGTGGAAGCACCGCTGACAGGCCACAATTGATTTTACAACAAGCAGACAGTGCCGAAGGAACAGTAATAGACCGGGACGGAGATGAAGTAAATGATGAAAGCCAGTACTCTGCTGGTCCTTCGAAACGCCCCCGTGAGTCATATCCTCTAGAATTTTATCATTCATCATATGGGAAAAGTGTTGCTCCTATACTGTCAATTGGTTTTGAGGTTGGAACGGATGCCCAAAGAGACGACCCTTTCAACCAAGTCCATGACCAGGTTTTCGGTTTCCCATCTAGGAGAGATTCAACACGTGTTTCATCTGTTATTGCTATGGACACATTTCATAGTGCTGATGGTGATTCAATGGAAAGTGTGGAAAACTATCCAGGAGATGTTGGTGATATCCAGTTCCCTTCAACATCGGGTGTAAAAAGCACTGATCCCTTTGAAATGTCCGATTTAAACTATAGCAATCAAGCACAACAGAGTGCCTGTCCTGCTATGGCTATTAGGAGTGCTGTTGATATTGGTGTTAGTAGCACCAACGATGAGGAAGTATTAAATGCAGATACTGCGACTGCTCATGTGAGGGATGGCTTTAGTTTTGGAATTAGTGGAGGGAGCATTGGAATGGGTGCCAGTCATGAAGCTGAAATTCACGGGATGGATAATTCTGTGCATAGAACTGATAGTGTTGTTGGTGATGTGGAACCGGTTGCTGAAGTCACAGAAAATGAGGGTCAAACAGGTGAATACGGTCCTGATCCTGGTCTTATGGGTGACTATGTGCCAGAGGGGATGGACCGAGAGGATCCTCATGGTGATAGTCAAGATCTAACATCTCGATCAGTGGGAAGAGCTGACAGTGGCTCAAAAGTTCTTGGCTCAACCAAGGAAGAATCCATTGAAAGTGCTGAAAAGACTGATGTCAGGCATGCCATGCCTAATAATAGTCTACACCCCTCTCTTTCTTGCAATGCTATTTTATTATCTGTGCATGATACATCAAAGGAAGAGGTTAACCAGGCTGCCGATGCACTGGCTACTGAAGATGGTGGATATGTGGTGGAGTCAGGCTTAGTATTTACCAAGGGGACAGGTAATGGTATCAGCGCTATTCTGTTTGCCAAACTCATGCCCTTACTGCTGTGTATAGGGATGCTAATACATCTTAAGTTCTGATTATTTTGCACAATAATAAGATTTGAGTAGTTTTTAGCTTGGGAATAGGGATAAGGGTCAGATAGGGCCTCGAACTTGAAAAAAAATGTCAAATAAGGCCATATTTAGGATGCTCTGTCCGGCCGACGCCATTTGGGGTGGTTCCCGGTGGAATTTTTTGATGAAATTTTTTGAGAATCTTATTCATCAAGTCTAGTTTACTCATATCAAATTTGAACTAACAATTCAATCGGGAAGGCATTCAAATGAATTCATGAAGATAACTGCGCTTTTAACGGTACAGTTATCTTCAAGAATTCATTTGAATGCCTTCCCGATTAAAGTTTTAGTTCAAATTTGATATGAGTAAACTAGACTTAATGAATAAGATTCTCAAAAAAATTCATCAAAAAATTCTACCGGGAACCACCCCAAATGGCGTCGGCCGGACAGAGCATCCTAAATATGGCCTTATTTGACATTTTTTTTCAAGTTCGAGACCCTATCTGACCCTTATCTCCTTGGGAATATGATGTAACAAAGCAAAATAGCTCACTAAACTGTCTGTGCGCTTCTTTGTTCTGAAGCACAGTCAGTCCATGCAATTTTCGATGCGATTTTCATCATGGGTCATCCAAAAACAGTCTCTTTGTGCTTTAGTATAGGGGTAAGGCTGTGTTCATCCAACCCCCCTTACCTCGCCGTAGGTGGGAGCCTTTGATGCACTGGGGTAATGTTGTTGTAATAAGATTTGAGTATTATTATCTGACTGATGTTCATCATGCATAGATTTAGAACACTTCAGTGACAACATGATTGTTGTAATGGACATTATTTAGATAATGGAATGTTTGGCAGGCCATTGTAGTTTTTTGTTTCTATGATCAAGTCATATTCTATTCCCAATTAGTTCTATTTAGTTCACTTTTATAATTAAATGGAATGTATTCTCCAGGTCCTCCCAATGGAGGAAGCGGATATAAAGAAGCCGTTGAATTTGATCCTGTTAACCACCATAACCCTTTCTGCCCTTGGGTCAATGGGAATGTTGCAGCAGCTGGGTGTACCAGTAGTGGTGGCTCCAGCTCTAGTGCTGGCGCTCTTGCTCTTTGCGGCTGGCAACTAACTTTGGATGCTTTGGATTCTCTTTCAATTGGAAATGTTCCGATTCAAACTGTGGAGTCTGAATCAGCTGCTTCTTTATATAAGGTATACAAATCTATTCTGTATTCTTAGCCACATCCGGCCCTATATTCATCTTGACTCTATTCATTTACTTGAGGGCGGTGTACAAGAGGCCTGATACTTTGGGTTCGGTGGAGTTTTTTCCTGTCATTTAGTCCTTGATTGTTGGCAGTGTTGCGATTAATTGTTGGTGAAATTTACATTTTGTATTTGCAGGATGATCATCGATCTGCTGGCAAAAAACTCATGACTCGAAACTCATATAGCAAAACCCATGGGGGAAACTAACTGGAGTCTCTAAATGAGTTCAAACCTGGTACTCTGATTCACTATTTTAATTTTTTCTAATCCATAAACAAGTGTGTTTTTTGAGTTTTCTGGATATAATTGTATATGGTTCTATTACACTTTTACCATTCCATGCAAGATGTGATTTTGTCTTGGTGGTTGCTCATTGATATTACTCTATGGATCAGAGTATTGAACTTGAAGTTTACTGGATAAGTTGAAAAGTTTAGATACAAGTGCTGAACTCTTTTCTTTAAACTCCATATGACTAGATTCAATGATTTATGCCTGTGTGAACTCTACCTAATATCTCTGTGTTTTTGCTCCATTGCCCTTTTTTAAGAAGTAGTGAGATAAGTGGTAGATTATGCAAAATTTCTAAGTTTACAAAAAAAAATGAATATGGCAGGAGTATATATTAAGAACTCAGTAACTCATCAATTAACAACCTGGTGCATGGCTTGTAAGAATTTGCTCTTTTTATAAAAAAGAATTGAGCATTCAGTAATTTCTAAGATTACAAAAAATGAATTTGGCCGTTGCATTTATTAAGAACTTAGATAACTTATCACTTAGTTAACTTATCAATGCAGTCCGGTGCATTTCATTAATGCTATAAGATTTTGCTTTTTGTATGCTTAAGTTGAGCATTAACTTATCCTTTGGTTTGGATTCAGGATTTTGGGGGTCCTGCCCTGATATATTGAACGATTTATTCTCTTGTGATGTTCTGTCGACAACAAGAAGATGCCCTTTTTATGTTACTGCTGCGTGGATGTATTCTCTTTAGCAAATCTGACTGACTGCAATCCTTGTTCAGTTTCTTCTCTCTAATTTATTTTATTTTATTTCTTTATAGCTTAATCAATAATATCTCTTGTAGAATGGCAATACCAATGTAGCATGGTAATTGTCCGCATGGTGGAAAATTTGATAATGGTAATTTATAGGAACATTGAGAAACTATTGTCATTGATTCAGTATACCGGCGTAGGCATTTTTCGTCTCTTTAGTTAAAATAAACTATCTTCGTTAGCTCAAGGAACATACCAAAACTCGCATTAGTATAGCTTATTGTATTTCAATCAGAAACAATTCTATCTCGTTATACTATAACTCTATAAGGTTATAGTTATTACTTTACTAAAAACACATATGTATTGATTTTGATAATAATATATTGTGTATTGATTCAACCCTCTTTTTCTGAAGGCTTTACTACCAGTTTCAACCCTCCCAACAAATCGTGGAAGATGTGAATACCTAGAGTAAAAAACACTGAAATGTTTCCGAACGATTCGCCAATTACTTTTGACTCTTTACATTGACTTCATAAAATACTTTTACTCAATATGTGAAATCTACTTGTTGCTTTTTGGGTAAATTATTCTTTGGTCTTATTTATACAAAAAACTACGGAGTATATTTTTTGGATGTAACTAGTTATATGTAAAATACCTATTGTAGACTAGTTTTGGGTAAATTATTTATCGGTCTTGTTTATACGGAGTATATTAAATCACCCAAAGCTAATAAGCAACTTTTTCACATCCATTCATTGATACTATATTTTTCAAGTCTTACATATCTGTAATTTCATACTTCCTTTGTTCGGAAATAATTGCAACATGACCTTGGGCGCAAAGATTAAAGAAAGCTGATAAAGCATTTCCTTTGTAGTTCTACCCTTTCTCGGTCATCTTCTCTATCCAACTGTACAAATTTCTGACAGCGGCTCCATTTTCTCTTAGCCATGAATTCGGTCACCTTTTTTCTACCTTTTAGCTCCTTACTCCCAATGATGCCTCTTAATCTTTAGACAGAATATTACGAAGCAAAGTATTTTCTTTATCTATAATTCAGTTTTTGAGTTATCTCATTAATTTCTTTACTCCATTCCAAGTTCGAACTCTCCCAAGAACCACATCTTCTCTACAATTTATTTTCATTGAAGGTTGAAGGTTCCATTCTTCAAAAATCTATTTTTTTTTGTATCTCAAACTTTTTAGTTTTTCTACGGGCATAACAGCCCATAAAAAGAAAGAAAAGGAGGGGGGAAGAAAATATAAAAAGGAAATAAATTAAAAGAGAAATGTGTGAAATCTTAAGCAAGTTAAAAGAAGAGTGGAAGTAAAAAGAATGGTAGGAAGAAAAGAATGAAAGTAGAAATGAAAGAAGATAAGTGGATAGTCATGGACCCGGTTCGGGCCGCCCGGCCCGGCCCGCTACTGTGCAAAACTGGAACCGGCCCGGTTCTCGGGTCCGGGTCGGGCCTAGGCCCGGTGGGGGCGGGTCCGGGCTCGGGCCTTGTATTTGGCGAACGGGCCGGGTCGGGCCCGGGTCCGGGCCGAATTAATTTTTTTTTTATTTTTTTTCATTTTTTGGGGTTACCCGGGTTGGGCTTGATGGTTAGGAGGGGTTTGGGGGGTTTGGGGGGTGGGGTGGGGGGGTGAGGGGTGGGGTTAGGAAAGCAAAAAAAAAAAATGACCAAACCGGAGGCCCGGCCCGGCCCGGACCCGGTGGCTACCCAGGCTGGTCCCGGGCCTTCCTTCCCAAAAAAAAAGCCCGGCCGGGCCTGGCCCGGAACCGGAACCGGCCCAGCCCGGGTGCATGACTATAAGTGGATGACCATGGAATTGAAAAGGAGAAGAAACGGGAGATAATGGCGAAAGGTATAGCTCAGGATTTGGAAGTATATGACAGGTAGGTGAAAATATTTAATCAGGTGGTATCAAATGGGTTTAAGGGTATAAATGTATAATAGTCTCAGTGGGTACTTTTATATCCTAAATTGGAAATGCTGCAATTATTTTGAAACTGTCAAAAAAGGAAAGTGTTGCAATTATTTAAGAACGAGAAAGTATTTATCTACGACTATTTCACATATTCACATATATATAGATATATCCTTCTCACAACCAAGTACAAAAACGTACAACATACAACAGCAATTGTTATATATGTAATCAAAATGTTATAATATTTGCAGTCTCTTAAAACAAGATTATGAGAACAACACAGCATGGTTACATACTTTTGACTATTTCTCTTGAACCCCCACGGCCCCACCCCATGCACAAACAGGGAAAAAGTATTCTGATAACTTGAAGGGTGACATACTTTTCGACTATTTAAACATTGTGTCGTACCAGCTAGTTAAGTATCTAAGCTAAGCCAAATGCTAAAACATGCATACACTGAAGTGTATGTATAAGATGACAGATGACCAAAGCTGGCCGGCCTTATCAGCTTCCGATCAGAAAGCGGGAATTTCAATGCCCTTGCTATTGTGCAAGACAACAGGAGCATCATACTTGCTGAAGAGTCTGTAGGAAGAAATGAGCGAAATGGCGACATAAGATAGGCTGACAGTGAATGTGATCGCAACGGATGTGATGGCCTTGTGGCAAAACCCGCCAAACGTCCCACAACTTTCACTCCATGTGGTGGCGCTGTCCCCTTTGTAGTCCAGGTAAACCACCTCAGTTGCCACTGCTCCAGCCGCTAGTACCACGTATGTAAGGAGCTGTAGATCAGAACAGTATATATAGATAAGTGTGCAGATCCAATGTGTAGGAAGATTATTAGAGTTAAATGGAGCAATGTGGTCATGATCATTTCATCACTTCACAAATTACATTACAATGAAGTAAAAAACAGGTCACTCTTGGAGGTCAGTGACACCCGGTCTGGAACTCTGGATCTCCAAGTAGAAAGTATTAAGTCATGAATCCTACAAGTTATCCAACTTTATGTACTGTGTGAATTAAATAATAAAAATAGTAAAAGCTATGTGATTAAGATTTGTGTAGAGAAATGAGCAGAATCATAAATTCATTACTTTCCGGGAAAATCCAATAGTACGGAGGGAGTATAAATATACTGTCTTATGCGATGGCGTTATACTTTCAAATGTGGGATAACTTGACAGATTTCGTCATTTCCGAATTCCGAATAGGTTCCTACTTGGTTTCTCATGTTAAAAATCGGGAGATTCAATCCGATTCCGAGAATCCCGAATCGGACCGGAGGGTGGAAATCCGGACAGTGCCATTTGGACCGCACCCATGCCAATATGAAGTGCTCCGACCCACGTGGAAATAAGTTAGTTAATCTAGCCTAGCTATGATCAACTTGGCATTAATTTCTACGCGCCCTTGCCCTAGTCTACTTTTGCTTGTGAAATGTGAACACTCATTTTGTTTTGGTAGTCTCATAATGACAAAGTGCTGGATATAACTGTCAGCAGTGTACCTCATAATGACCGTATATATTTACGTTTTTCCACTCTTGCTCATTGAAATGACATGTTATTTTAATTATAGAATCCATTACACACACATATATATCATTTTCTGCACATTAATTTCTATTATTAATCACTTAGTATTATGGCAATAAGGAAAATGGGCAAACACTCCCTTAGTTTTTATTAAGGTCCAAATGTACCCCAATGTTTTTTAAAGAGTCATGTATGACTCTCTTATGGAGTCATATAATTAAGGGCTACATCTTATTTGCTGGTTGACACAACCTCTCAGAAAGTACGTACTACCACATGAGACTAGACATGGACACATTAGCCCATGCCTAGTCTATATATATGACATTTTTTCTCTAGCTCATGCGATCATGCCTAGAGATAAGACAAGTAGGAGATATTCATTGTTTGCAGGTCTTATATATAGGCTCCTCATTCGAGTTTGAGCATGCTATTCGAGTCTGAATATAGAAAAACTAATGAGCAAGACTTGAGTCGAGCTCAAGCCCAGCACGAATCGAGTTTGGGCAAATTTATTAGGCTCATTTGAGTTCGAGCTCGAACTAGTGCATCCTTATCAAGATCAAGTTCAACCCGACTCGTTTACATCCCTACTTGTATATGATAGTCGAATGATAAAAGTGACAAAAACTCTAACTTAAAGAGGGTTTTCCATAAAATATTTTTGAAAAAAGTGAATAAAATGTGACTTAAGTCATTATAGTATGATTTTATAGCCTCGTGTAAAATCTAAACATAATTATAGTCACTAAAATTAATAAGTCACATTGTTATCTACTTCGGGCTGTGAATCTAAAGTTATTAACATTAGAGGCTGGATGAAGAGATGAACAAGGAAGATGAAGTTTTGATTGTACGTCCACCTCGTGAAATGCTCGCTGCCTTGGAGTGACCGTGTGGCTAGGGAATGGAAGGCGACACTTCAAGGTTGGATTGGACCACTTGCGGTTTCTTGTTCCATTTTTATTTTAAGCTTTAGTTTTCTTTCTTTAGACTTTTTGAACTTAGTTTTGGTTTGATTGTGTTAGTGCCTCAAAGCTCCCGTATGTTCGGCGAAAAGTTTTGCTCTATTGTTAGTGAACTCTTTTATGCCTGATTATGGTCTAAGGGGGCGTTTAAGCTATTTTGGGGTTTTTTGAAGTGTGCAAGAGTATATTGACCTTAAGGATACAAAAGAACACTATATTGCGCCTTTGATGGTTGGCGATTCACGCTCCTTCTTTGGTAATGGCCGTCTCAAAATCTGACTGTAGGTGGAGTTTTGAACTTCTGGCTGATTTTAGCTGCATACGTTTATTTATATTGATGTAGTTTGGCGATTTCCTTTCAAATTGTTTGTCACTTCACAACTTAATACTCATTTTAAAAAACAATATTTCACATGTATAACTAATTACTTTTGAAAAAAGTAACCAGTGTGTTCTTGAGTCCTTCCGGGTCAGCCCGTTAAAAGTAGACAATTACTCCCTCTGTCCTTCAAAAGTTAGCCAAGTTTGAGCGAAAAAGGAATTAGTAAAGTAAAAATTGTGTAGTTGAAGTTTGTGCAGAGGAGAAATAATTAACATGAACCGCAACTTATTTACTAAAAGGGCAAGTGAAAAAGTTAATAAGACGACCCAAAAAGGAAAGTTGGAAACGTATTAAGAAACAGATGGAGTATTAAATTTGTTAGTTAAAGTCCCATGTCCCTTAAGACTTGACTAAATTTGACCGGCACGTTATGTGATTATGTTGCACAAGAATATTATATTGCAAGTAGCAAAGGACCAAGGATAGGATAGAAAAGAACCTGATCAAGGAGGAAGAAGGTCCAAGCACGAGGCATACTGAAGGGCCTTGGTATGGCTGCAACCACGGCTGATAGAAGTGAATAACCCGCACATATTCCATTTGCGTGCACCAAATACCTGTAAA